TAGGGGCTCTGGGGCAAGTGATGCTCTGTATTCTTGGTGCTTGGGGGGTCAATAGTGTGAGGGCTCCTAGTGTCCTGGCCCCACTGGTGGACCTCCTGATGGCCCCTGGTATTTTTGGCCACTGTGTGACAGTGTTGGACTGGATGGGCCATTGGCCTGATCCAACATTGGCTTCTCTTATGTTCTTATGTACTCTGCATATAAATTAAATAAACAGGGTGACAATATACATCCTTGCCTTAGTCTTTTTCCTATTCTAAACCAATCAGTTGTTCCATGTCCGGTTCTGTTGCTTCTTGACCCTTATACAGGTTTCTCAAGAGACGTGTGAGGTGGTCTGGTACTCCCATCTCTTTAAGGACTTGCCACAGTTTTTTGTGGTCCACACAATCAAAGGCTTTAGCGTAGTCAATGAAGTAGAAGTAGATGTTTTCCTGGTACTCCCTTGCTTTCTCCATAATCCAGCAAATGTTGGCAATTTGATGTCTCATTCCTCTTCCTCTTCAAAACCCAGGTTGTACTTCCGGCAGTTCTCTTCCATGTACTGCTGAAGCCTAGCTTGTAGGATCTTGAGCATGACCTTGCGAGAATGTGAAATAAGTGCAATTGTCCGATAGCTTCAACATTCCTTGGCATTGCCCTTCTTTGGGATTGGAATGCAAACTGACCTTTTCCAATCCTGTGGCCACTGTTGTGTTTTCCAAATTTGCTGGCATATTGAGTGCAGCACTTTAACAGCATCATCTTTTAGGACTTTGAATAGCTCAGCTGGGATACCGTCATCTCCACTAACTTTGTTGTTAGTAATGCTTTCTAAGGCCCATTTGACTTCACATTCCAGGATATCTGGCTCAGTGATCACACTGCGGTTGTCAAGGACATTGAAATCCTTCTTATATAGTTCTTCTGGGTATTCTTGCCACCTCTTTACTATTATTCATTGTTATCTAAAATATTCTGTCAGGCTTTGCAGACTTCTGCACAAAATTTCGTAGTACTCACTGTGACCTGTGCATTTTCTCCTGTGAGTAGCATTCTAACATATGCTTGGTTTGAACAGCCTGGATTTCTGTTGAGCAAAGGGGATATATACTTTCAGTGGATCTTTTGGTAGAAAGGGCAATGAAGTAGGACATGTTCTGTTGTTTCTACCTCTCCTCCTTCGCATGAACAGAATCTCTCATCCAAGAGGATCTTTTTATATCACCCCTCTTCTTCCGCTGTAAGGGCTTGCCATCTGGCTAGAGAGAAAGCCCTCCACTGTCTTGGAATCTCTAGCTGAAATAAATAATCAGCCGGTGTGACTACATGTCTGAATCCAGGAGAGGCCAGAAACGTTCGTGAGCTTCCTACATCATGCTGCAAATCAATGTCAAAAATCCTTTGCTTTACCAACACCTTTGCTTGATCAAACCCCACTTTTAAAACCTATTTTTTTTGGGGGGGAGTCCCAAGGTGGCTAGCTTACCATTTATAGTTTTCTCCCATGATGATTTAAAACTGTCCTTAAGAATAGGGGGGAGGGTTAATCCCTTAGGATCATAATTTAATTTTAGCCATTGAATAATGGAGGCTAGGGCCACCCTGGATGATACTTTAATCATGCCAGTCTCCAATCTAAAGTTTGCATTCGATACCCACTTAGGCATTTGAAGGACTGTTCTTATAAATTTTGGCTGTACTCACTCTCGTGGGGCAAAATAAGAAAGTGGGGGCCAGTCAAAAAGGCCTCCCCTGCCCAACCTGGGCTGGGCACCTTTTCGCCAAGAGGCTGGCTAGTTGAAACTTATAAAAGGTGTTAAAGGCACCTGTATACCTTTAACCTGGGTAGGCTACCACTAGTCCTTTCCAGTCCCTCCAGTCAGGAGCCAAAGGACAGACTTCTGGTCTTACCGGGATTAATTAGGGAGTCCACCCTTCGAGCCTGACTGTTAAGTCCGATGCTTAACAAAATTATAATATAATAATTGTCTAACAGTTAATAGACTATTATTACTATAGCAGCAGAGACAAGAACCAGAGTTTGATGAATAAAATATATTTTATTCCGAAGAGTATTATTAGAAATAGGTGCAAATTTACTTAAAAGGTTACTGTGAGGAAAAACACTCTAAAAGTAGAGATTAAGA